AGTTATTGTATGCTGCAAGTTATTTGAAGTCAAACGTCACAACCTGTTGGTTTGTTGTGCTATTAGTTGAAGTAAACCAGTCGACAACCTGCGGAGTTTTTATGCTGCAGTTAGTTGAAGCCAACAGTCGAAAACCCAAGGGAGTTTTTGATGCTGCTAGTTTAGTTAAAGTCAACACGTCGAAAACCATGGGATTATTTTTGCGTGTTAGTTGAATCAACACGTCGCAACCTTGTGATTATTGATGCCAATTTGTTGAAGTCAACGCGAAAACCCCAACGGGAGTTATTGGTTTAAGTTGAAGCCAGGTCAAAAACCATTTTGGGGAGTTATTGTATGCTGCTATTTAGTTGAAGTCAACACAGTCGACAAACCATGTTGGAGTTATTGTATGCTGCTAGTTGTTGAAGTCAACACGGTCGACAACCATACTGAAGTTATTGTATGCTGCTAGTTAGTTGAAGTCAACACAGTCGACAACCATGCTGGAGTTATTGTATGCTGCTAGTTAGTTGAAGTCAACACAGTCGACAACCATGTTGGAGTTATTGTATGCTGCTAGTTAGTTGAAGTCAACACAGTCGAAAACCATGTTGGAGTTATTGTATGCTGCTAGTTAGTTGAAGTCAACACAGTCGACAACCATGTTGGAGTTATTGTATGCTGCTAGTTAGTTGAAGTCAACACAGTCGACAACCATGCTGGAGTTATTATATGCTGCTAGTTAGTTGAAGTCAACACAGTCGACAACCATGTTGGAGTTATTGTATGCTGCTAGTTAGTTGAAGTCAACACAGTCGACAACCATGTTGGAGTTATTGTATGCTGCTAGTTAGTTGAAGTCAACACAGTCGTCAACCATGTTGGAGTTATTGTATGCTGCTAGTTAGTTGAAGTCAACACGGTCGACAACCATACTGAAGTTATTGTATGCTGCTAGTTAGTTGAAGTCAACATGGTCGACAACCATGTTGGAGTTATTGTATGCTGCTAGTTAGTTGAAGTCAACACAGTCGACAACCATGTTGGAGTTATTGTATGCTGCTAGTTAGTTGAAGTCAACACAGTCGACAACCATGTTGGAGTTATTGTATGCTGCTAGTTAGTTGAAGTCAACACAGTCGACAACCATGCTGGAGTTATTGTATGCTGCTAGTTAGTTGAAGTCAACATGGTCGACAACCATGCTGGAGTTATTGTATGCTGCTAGTTAGTTGAAGTCAACACGGTCGACAACCATGCTGGAGTTATTGTATGCTGCTAGTTAGTTGGAGTCAACACGGTCGACAACCATGTTGGAGTTATTGTATGCTGCTAGTTAGTTGAAGTCAACACGGTCGACAACCATGTTGGAGTTATTGTATGCTGCTAGTTAGTTGAAGTCAACACTGTCGACAACCATGCTGGAGTTATTGTATGCTGCTAGTTAGTTGAAGTCAACACAGTCGACAACCATGTTGGAGTTATTGTATGCTGCTAGTTATTTGAAGTCAACACAGTCTACAACCATGTTGGAGTTATTGTATGCTGCTAGTTAGATGAAGTCAACACAGTCGACAACCATGTTGGAGTTATTGTATGCTGCTAGTTAGTTGAAGTCAACATGGTCGACAACCATGCTGGAGTTATTGTATGCTGCTAGTTAGTTGAAGTCAACACGGTCGACAACCATGCTGGAGTTATTGTATGCTGCTAGTTAGTTGAAGTCAACACAGTCGACAACCATGTTGGAGTTATTGTATGCTGCTAGTTAGTTGAAGTCAACACAGTCGAAAACCATGTTGGAGTTATTGTATGCTGCTAGTTAGTTGAAGTCAACACAGTCGACAACCATGTTGGAGTTATTGTATGCTGCTAGTTAGTTGAAGTCAACACAGTCGACAACCATGCTGGAGTTATTATATGCTGCTAGTTAGTTGAAGTCAACACAGTCGACAACCATGTTGGAGTTATTGTATGCTGCTAGTTAGTTGAAGTCAACATGGTCGACAACCATACTGGAGTTATTGTATGCTGCTAGTTAGTTGAAGTCAGCACTGTCGACAACCGTGCTGGAGTTATTGTATGCTGCTAGTTAGTTGAAGTCAACATGGTCGACAACCATACTGGAGTTATTGTATGCTGCTAGTTAGTTGAAGTCAACATGGTCGACAACCATACTGGAGTTATTGTATGCTGCTAGTTAGTTGAAGTCAGCACTGTCGACAACCATGCTGGAGTTATTGTATGCTGCTAGTTAGTTGAAGTCAACATGGTCGACAACCATACTTTAGTTATTGTATGCTGCTAGTTAGTTGAAGTCAGCACTGTCGACAACCATGCTGGAGTTATTGTATGTTGCTAGTTAGTTAAAGTCAAACAGGTCGAAAACCATTGGAGTTATTGTATGCTGCTAGTTTTTTGAAGTCAACTGGGTCAAAAACCTTTTGGGGGTTTTAAATTGTTTTGCTGCATTTTGTTGAAGAAACACTTTTCCAAACCATGCGGAGTTTTTGTATGTGTATTTTGGTTAAAGTCAAAAAGGGTCGACAACCATTTGGGGTTATTGTATGTGTTTGGTTAGTTAAAAATTTTAAACACGTCGAAAAACCTTTGGTTGGGTTATTGTATGTGCTAGTTAGTTAAAGTAAACGGGGGTCAAAAAACCAAATGTTGGGGAGTTTTTGTATGCTGCTAGTTATTAACCCTTTCCCTTGGGGTTTTTTGAGCCTGTTTAAGGTCAACGGCCCCTGTGGGGTTAATTTTCTCATTATTAAAGGTCAACAAAAGTCCCAAAACCATGGGGATTTTTTATTTTAAATTTCCCCCCAAAACCTTCGGGATTTTTTAGGATGAGTAAGTAAACCGGTGGCCCTTTTTTGGGGAATTAATGATTTCCCTGGGTTATTTGTAAAAAGTCCAAAATTTTATTATTTTTTTTATTAAGAAAATTTAAAATTTGGATTTATTTTATTTTTATTATTAAAAAATTATAATTTTGTAATTTTTATTTTATTTTGTTAATTGAAAAAGGGATTTTTTAAAAATTTAAATATTAATTAAAAGCGAAACCCGGTTGGGTTTATTTTGGGTTGTATTGTGGTAAAAAAATGGCCCTTTTGGGTTTTTAAAATTTTTAAAAAAGTTAATTATTTTTTTTAATTATAGTCATGTGTTTACCCCACTGTTCCGGACTCCCGCCTCCGGGGGGCAACCTCAAACCATTAAAAATTTTGGCTTTTTTGGCAGGGATAAAGCCCGTTCCTTTTTTTATGTGAT